CCATGTCTATGACATCAAAGATTTTGGCAATTTTTTTTCCAGAGTATAAGAGGGTCATATTTTATGCATATCTATGAATAATCGTGTAACAAAGAATCATATAGGAAAGGCATTATTACCAGCTTATTTGTAGCAGTGACGACACATCATCATGAAGATGCAATAAGTGGCAGCCTCAAAAGAAATGGAGCAATTTGATAAAATTTCGATTTTGAAAAATAAAATAAAACTAGAAAGCTTTTATGCGATACAGAGATCGAGTACATGATGCATCACTTATACTGCAGAATCATAAGTCTTCACAAATGAAGAGGAGAAAAGTGCATGGGGGTGGCTGCCTTGCATGAATAAAGGAGCAGATGAGGCTGATAAAAAAAAGAAAAGAAAAAGAAAGGCAGAATCCAAAAGGGAAACTTTATGCAAGTCATATGTGGTGAGAATTGAACTTACATTAATGGGGAAGTTTGCATCTATTCATCCAGAGTGGTGATTTGCCCTACTCACCTTATTTGTACCATGATCTATTGGTTTACTGGAGCTATCCATTTCGATCAATCCTCAAGATTTTGAAATTAAATTTTCATGAGTACTAGGAGTGAGAGGATGTTAAGAAAAATCACATTCCTTTTGAAATATACAAAGTACGAACTCTGTAAGAAAAGTAATGAGCTACATGATTTGAGTGGGCGGACACTATAAATTTGAATGAGTAACAGCCATTAGCAATATTTTCATCCAGCAGGTATAAATATTTAACTTTATGCCTATTATATGTTTTGAAGAATTACCAAATTTTTACATCCATATAGTAAGGTAATGGATGTGCTATGCATAAGTGGTGATCGTAAGGCTACGATACTATATGAAAATCAAATATCCATCTCATCAGAAATTTGAATAGTATGGAGAAGGGCTGATGTACCTCCAATAGTACAGAAAATATAATGAGATTACGAGCCATCCACCGCCAACGCTGAGAACGCCTTCTAATTCTGGCAAGAACAGCAACCTCTTCCTTGCTTATGTGTTGCAGTCTCTTCTCAAAATCATCTCCACGTAATCTAAATAGTGCATTCCACATTCTTGATAGTATTCCCTTCTTCTTTGTCATCTTAACCAAAGTGTCTGTAGATGTAGGGGACTCCCCAACATCCTTTTTAGATTCTTCAGCCATTACCTAAAGATTTTGTGCAAAGTTAGCTCCAGTAACTGCTAATTTATTCATATAATCAATTTGGATTAGTTTGAATCCTCTCCACATGAAATTTTCATGCGACAATTAGTGTAGTTACTGGATGTTTGACTAAGTTTCCAAGGCTAAATTATCCAGGGAGATACCAGCTAGTAAAATGCCTAATCAAGGGTTAAGTGCAGTAGCATGATTGACACCAGTGTAATATTTGTTAATCACCAGAATAAATTCCTATTCAAAAAAGCTAATAACAAATCACCGACCTAGAAATAAGAAAATAAGAAAATGTTTACCCAAACCTAGATAATCAGATACCCAGATATTTTTATTAAATTTATTTAAGAAAGCTAGTTTGAAATAATATGTTAGAAACCAACTGATCAATTTAATCTGTTTGATAATGTTAGAGAAAAATATGCTAAAAACGTGACGAGAAATTAATTTTAAGAAAAAACACTCTCAACTTAGTGTATATCAGCAAAAAAGAAAAACACAAATATCAATACGTTTTATATGAATGAACTAACGCGGAATTTAGAGAAACCGTAAGACGTGGATCCAGAAATGACAAATAACAAAGTCGACTTCAATTTCAAGGATCAATTCAGATCCACTACATTAACCCAAAGAATATGCCTAAAACCATTCAAATGCATGTATAATTATAAAACACACACACAAAAAATTGATAATAATCCTATAGTTGAATCCCAATACCAAAAAATTAATAATAAGAAAAAACTCAACCCAGAGGGGAATAAATACTCACACTTGTAACATAAAAGGAATCACAGATTTTTATTTTTACAACAAAATTAGATGTGTAAATTTGAATAGAGAAAAAAAATTGAGATGGGCGATGTACATACCAGATGAATAGATGGTCGGAATTACAACAGAAATTGGATCAAAGCAACAGAGCAAAGTTAAAACAGGTGAAGGCGTAAAGAGAAACTGCAGGAACCTCTCGATGGCCTCTTCCTTATAATATTGATTTTCGCTACCTTTTCCAAAATGGAAGTAACATGATGTGCAGTCTCGCAATGGCGCGTACAGGCGTATCGTGTCTATTGATATTATGAATAATTCTAAGTCTACATTATTATGTTGTGTCCATAACATATACATAGAATTTCATGGCTTTAGGGTTGAAAAAATTGTATTTAACTAATGTTATGTCTCTTTTACATTATGAACATCCTCATAGACATCATAATATACACGTAACATAACCTAAGTTTAATTTAGCCACTTGGCTTGGGATCGTACCCTAAAGAATGTCTTCCCCTAAAGATCGCGATTGAATTTCTAAACTTCAATTACAAATTTTACAACTTTTTAACATTCCATCACTTACCATCTTCCAAAGTGATGAAACTTTGCTTAGTTGGCAGCCATATTATGCCCCTATTTGATAACCATTAAAATTATTTTTATTTTTTTTAAGAGAGAATGTGGTTTTAAATAGTATTTTTTTTTGAAAAATGTGCCGTTAAAAGTAGAAAAAGATTTTAAACTGTAAGAGTATATGGTAAAAAATAAATTTGAAAAAAAAAATCGTTTTAATGGTTGTCAAACAAGGGCCATAATCTTTCATGTTATCAATAATAACCCAAGTGTGGTTATAAATAATTGTTAAGTTTGATTTAAAATTTAATCTACTTTACAAACTGAATCAAATAGGGACTATATGTAAGAATGTGATAAGTGGTAAATAAAAAAAATTGGTAAATAACAATAGGAGTGAGAAAAAGACACGTTCGATATTGTGTAGCAATTTTTATGAAAAACTAATGTTAAAGCCTCTTTTTTTTCTTTTGTCTAATTTAACTAAATATACTTTCGTCGTTTACATAGAAACACCTCGTGAAAGTGCAACATATAATTTTCTCATAACACGAAACATAAAGTACTATTTGTCCATGTGCCTAGCTGATAATCATCACAAAGCAAAATCATACTGAAAATTATTTCCTCTTGAACCTGAACTTGAACGGGTGGCTTTCATCATTAGCCTTCATCTTTTTTAAAGAGTGAAGTGAACTTTTTATATTTTCAGGAATATTACTACAAATAAATTTACTGACGATATCAATGATAGCATGGAAAAGAAAACTGTTTGTCAACTGCAACTTTGAAACGTTTCAAAGTAGTCACCATGCTTTCAAAGTTATTTCTCAACGGTACTTTTGTTTTCCATGAACGATTCTGTTTGCAATGCCATCAAAATTGTTACTTTTCAAATGGAAGAGATGAAATAATGGACGGAAAAAACACATTCAAAGCAGTGATATTTGAAAGCAACATCGAAAGTAGCGTGACTATTGAGATGTTTAACCTCCAGCATATTAACCAGCAGAAAAAACCAGTTCAGCAATTACACCACCACATTCATCAATGATATCTGAAAAAAATAATAATAAAAAAAAAAAATTCTGTTCAAAATGTGGAAACATGTTTAAATTTGGGTGAAAAAGTAGCAGAAAAGAATCTTATTAACAAAACAACGAAAGTGTTCATTTTCGAGATACAAACTATCTAAAATATTCATCAGAAAGAACATCGCCAGAATAGATACATTCTTTAAAAAGGGAGATATCCAAATTCAAATGTTTCCCCCATCAGTAGGTTCATCTGTGGTCATCCCTGTCAAAAGTGGAGTAAGGGTATGTGCTTCTTCATCAAGCAAGTTGTTGTTCACCTTGCTGTAAAAACAATCAAAAGGTGGGGAAGAAGAAAGAAAAACAACAAAAAAAATAATATTCAGTTAACAAAAGAATAATTTTATTTATTATTATTTTTTTTTTATAGGAGTTAACAAAAGAATAATGAGATCTAATATTCTGTATCTAGACAAAGAATAACAAAATATCACGGACTAACTTATAAATGCCTTCAAAAACAAGCGAGTTGCACTGCAAAGCATGTTTTAGTAAAATTAAATATTAAGTTTGGTTTTGGTTTTGGTTCTGGTTTTTGAACCAGAACCAGAACCAGAACCAGAACCAGAACCCAAACCAAAATCAAATGGTTCTCGGTTCAAAGAACCAAAACCATTAATTGAATACAATTTATTAATCAATTTTGGTTCATTAGAGATAAACAACTCATTAGTTGTCTACACTCTAATTTTATATTCAATTGAATTATTTCTCCTTCACTCATTTTCAATTTACACTACACAGCATACTAGTACCACATTTCATCAAGTCAGTGGAGTGTCATTTAAGATTGAAAAATGAAATTGGTTAATTACTTGAAAAGTTTCTAAACTCTTTTTTTACTTTGATTGTTTGATGAATTATTTGTGTTCTTCATAAATGAAGGAAAACCAATAAACATTCATGAAATATTAAACGATTAATGTTGCTTGTAGAAGTGGACTTTAAAAATTTTGATAATTCATTCTTTAATACAGGGGTGTGCCTTCAAAACTACTGCAATTAATTTAATGAATCATTGCTATTACTTATTAAACAATTTTTTGTATGAAAACGAAAACTGATTTGTGTATTCAAATTATGAATATATTTTGTTTGTTAGTTATTGACTTTTTTGATCTCGATGATTGAAATTTGAACTTCCTAAATGTTTGATGTTTAAATTCTTATTTAAGTATACATTACTAATTTATATGATGCAAAATCTAAAAATTAAAGAAATGAAATTAGAACCAAACAAGAACCGAACGGTTCGGTTTCATATCTCTTAAAAAAACCATTTGGTTCCATTATTAAAAAAATCGTTGGTATTCGATTTGGTTCTCTAGGAACCAGAACTATATGGAACCATGTCCACCCCTATTTTAAAGTCAATTACTGAAGGTCATCTTCATTATTATGGAAATATCAATTTTTTATTTTATTTTATTTTTTTTTCCATTTAGAACTAAAGAACGTATTGCAATAAACAGAGACGTGGCAGAATGAAATGATAAAATGGCATGCAAGCACGTGGATGACAATGACTAAATGCATAGAGATGTTAACACGAACATAGAGTAATCCCGAAGACAAAAATGTATGCCCCAATTAAGTAAAAATGTGTCTCAAATGTGCTACATAAAGATGTTAAGAAAAAGACACTTACTCGCATGTTCGCGTATTATGGCCCAGGCCCTTGCACCTGCGACACTGGAGCTGGCGTTTAATGCTGTCCATAAGTTCAACTGGTTTAACCTTTGGTTTAACTCGTCGTTTAGTAGGAGGAGGAGTAACAAAAACTTCACTTTTTTCTGGTTTCTCCACGTTTGGTATTGGGTTGATTGACTCCATGTAAGTTAAGCGGTAAGTGTCAGTCATGAAATATCTGGAGCAATAATCATATGGGGTCCTACCAACGCATTCAAAAACAGCAATAGCATGGGAGCAAGGTAATCCAGTAAGCTGCCATCCTTTACAACTACAGTCCCATTTATCGACATCAACCAAGTCAACAACAGATTCACCACGAACCTCAAATGTGCTATTTCCAATTGATTGTAATACTTGGAGAGATTGTACTTTAGCTGTCTCATTCTGAAGCTTTTCCTCCATACAAGGTGTCAACCTCGTAACCCAATGACTGGATTCAAGTCGTCTTCTATACATCAATTCCATAATCTTACCACGCAATACATCAACCATCTGAGTTATTGGAAACCCATCCACCTCAGACACCCAACTATAGAATTGTTGACCAAAGTTGGATGTCATATGGTTGTATCTTGTACCGCCAAAAAATGCATTAGACCAGTGTTCTGGTTCACTCCCAATTACCCAGTCATAAGCTTCAGCTGATATAGCTTTTATATTTTCAAGACAGCGCTCAAAAGCCTCAAGTTTTGCTGAGTAAGCAGCAGCATATAAATCTTGAACCAAGAGACGTCTTGCATCATGTGAAAGTCCTTTTACATCTTTATTAAGTTTTTCAGCAAGACAACGTAGACAATAACCATGATAGCACTCTTTGCCAAATATATCAAGCAATGATTCTCTTATACCTTTCTGGAAATCAGAGACAAAAGTAATGTGTTCTGATGTTGAAAAGGTAGATTTCAGTTCTGACAGGAACCAATGCCAGTTATCCTCAGTTTCTTCGTCTACCACAGCAAAGGCAACAGGAAAGAAATCATCATTCCCATCTGCAGCTGTTGCTGCTAATAATATTCCTTGATATTTTGAGTAAAGAAGAGTGCTATCAAGGAAAATAAGAGGACGGCATTGATGAAAACCAGATATCGAGGCATGAAATGAAACAAAAAGACGATGAAAGCTTGAGTCCTCCCTAGTGGTTAGTGTAGCAAGGCTACCTGGGTTAGTCTCCATTATCTTCTCACAGAAAAATGGTAAGTGAGAGTATGCCTCTTCATAAGAGCCCTGAAGCTGCTCCCGTGCAAACTCTTTTGCTCGCCTTGCCTGACTATAGTTCAACTGAATGCCATAATCACGCTCAATTTCTTTGGCAATATCCTTTGGCTTGTAATTTGGAGAAACTTTCAATTTTTCCTTTATAATACTCCCTATCCATCCCTTAGTTGCCTGTCTAGCTTTTATGGTAGCTCCTCCGCATGTATGCTCAGCATTCATAATCTTAATACATATAAGTTGGGTAGCAGCCACCCTTGATGCATATATACGCCATGGACAGCCTTCCATTTTGCACTTGGCAGTTACACGATGGTTGTCATTTTTCTTATATTTGTAATCAAATCCATGAGCAATCGAGTATTTATGCAGTGCTTCACGGAATTCAGCAAAGCTATTAAATCTTTGGTCCACACCAGTGATGATGTTCTCCCACTGGGTTGCTGCTCTCCGATGCTTCTCATCATTGCTAAATGGAGTTACTTTGAGTGGTAAGCTTTCAATAGGCTCGTTCAAAACTATTGCATCATCATCTTGCATAATATCCATAGGGTCATCAGAAGGAATCACTGCCTCTGACACAGTTGTTCTGCTTGATCTGCATAAAAAGCAGATAATAAGTTTTTAAGCATTCAAAGGAAGTTTTTGTGGCCCGTTGGTATCACAAGTGCTAACTCAGTTTGCTCAAGTCCCAGTGCCCAAAACAACCATGCTGGAAGACATACTGTATAAAATGTGTGTCATTTTCCTTCACATGAAAACAGCATTGACAACATAGTAGATCACACATCTAGAGCTTTGGTGACAGTAGTTTTTAGACCTTCTCCTAGTGATTGAAGTTTTACCAGTTAGACTGCTTCGAAGTTTCAGTGTAGAAATTTTTGGAACTTATATTTAGAGCACAAACACATTAGTGTTCACTTCAGCCTCCCACAATTTTCCTTATCCTTTCAATCTCTTTATTGTCTTATTGGTTAAATCTGTTTTCTCATCAGTTTGGGTCGTACCTTTTATTATTAGTATAAACTACACTCCACCCTGGAGGTAGTATAAAAGGGTCGATGCTTCTTCACATATTAAAAATTAACAATCAATAAGAAACCAGTGCGCCACTTCTTACTCTAGTTGCAGGCAAAATCAAAGAGGTTGGTTCATGCTAACGATAGATTATAAGGGATGGTACAAGTACCTACTAGCAGGCATGTTAGGCACATTCTGAGGACAAGCTACAAAGACCTCAACTTGGTCAGAATCCTTGAAGAAGTTGAGCATACGCTGGAGGTCCTTATTTTTTGATATGGTAATCAGGGTCTTTCTGTTTCCAGGAAGAAAATACTTTATTGTCATGCCATCAACATTGCATTGAAAATTCTCAGACAGTTCTTGCTTGAAATCTTTCAACTGTGTCTTCTCATCAATGCTCAGAGCATAAGCTTCCCCACCAGTGTAAGACAACAATCCATTATCTTTGTTGGCCACAAATTCACCTCCAGATTGGCATATGGCTATGATTTTCTTAGTTTCCATGAGCAAAGGACAAACGGATACAGTAAAACTTACGCAGATAGATTGGATCAAATATAAGTGCCCCCCGGATAATTCAAGCAACAATTGTTTAAGGGAGATCAAACCTACAATCACAGGTTAAAGCAAAAAATAATGAACAACTATTAGAAACACAACCAAAGTTCTATACTTACCAGAACCCCAAGTGTAAAACAATCCCCAAATCTACAGTGGTCCATAAGAAGCCAACAGATAAATAAATAATTAAAAACCCAAAAGAAATTTGAGTAAAATATTACAAATTGACTAGCAAAACTTATACTTTCCCCACAAGTAGTATGCAAGATTCGTGCAAAATATTTAATTAATTTCATGATTAGTTTTTTATTTTCAAATTAATGATTACAATTGATGAATTCAAACAATTGAAGTCTATGGTAATATGGCTTGCAGAATAAAAATCTTAGAAACACAACAATCTTCTAAATTTACCAGAAACCCTATGCGTAAGAAATCCCCATATCTATAGTTGACCATAAGAACCGAACATATGAATATAAATAATTAAAACCCATAAAAAATTCCAGTAAAATATTAAAAATTAACTCGCAAAACTTAAATTTGTCCCCACAGAGCAGAATACAAGATATATGCAAAATCTTCAATTATTCACAATGACTTATTCTTTTTTGCAAAAAATAAAAATAAAAATAAATAAAAAAAAGTCATTACCTCTAACGTGATGAATTAACAGTAGATTTCCATGAAGTAAAATTAAGCTAAAAGTTTTTCAATTTGGAGGGGTTGTGTCCAATATATATGCCGCAACACATGAACCAACGAAAGTAGGGGGGAGAGAAAGAAAGAGAGACGCGGACCCTATATAGAACATCTTCAACACCTTGGGACTAGTATAATTGGGCCTGTGTTTCGGCCCATTATGGATGGTGTTGGGCCTAGCAGCTAATTTAATAAAAATGAAATAAGTGGAAATTACATAATTGGATATGTTTAAAGATAACAATACAAAAATTAGGGATGAAGTTTCATTATTCACAAATTAGGTCCTCATCTATGAAAAATCCTAATTTATTTCCATAATTATCTCTCTCCCTCCACCATCTCTCTCCTGTTTATAAGCTCATCACCTCCCCCATTCTCTCTGTACAAATACAACAATTAGGAATTCCTCATCTTTTAGTCATCACCAAGTATCATCACCTACCCTCAATCCATATCACCCCAAAAGGAGAGCGAATCACCACGAGTTGCGGCGTCCTTCCTTTTAAAAAAAATTGAGTGTAGTGACTGACGGTTTGGAGGTGGAGGTGTGCAGTGCGGTGATGGTGGAGCTGTCAGGTGTGCGTCGCAGTGGTGACGTGCTACTGTGGTGCGGTGGAGTAGAGGTGTGCAATACGGTGGCGATGATAGTGCTACAAATGCAATGGTGGTGTGGTGGTTGGGTACGTATAGTACTGTTGTTTTCGTTTTTCGAATCTGTTGTACAGAACAGATTTTCCATGAATGACTTGCTAAACCAGATGAACAATTGCAAAACAATAAAAATAGAATATCATTTTCTGAAAATGAATTGCACAGAATAAAACAGAAGAATAAAGAAGTCCAGAATTCGGAATGAGGATGATCGAGGCGAGAACTAGGCTCTCTATCCTTAAGACGTTTTTACCCCGTCACACGGTGCTTACAGTATGTGGTAAAGCGTCTCCCAAGATACAACAATTAGATACTTGCAGAAGCAGCACTTCGACTGCAAGACAACGAATCAGAACGGAAGTACTCTCTGTAGACTATTGTAGAGAAGAAGAGTGTGTATGTAGAATGATTTCATGATGTTTCTGTGTGTGTTTAAAATTGAAAGCTTGAGGACCATTCAAATAGAGGAGAGAGTTGACGGTTGAGCAATTTCCATCCACCACTCACGCCCACTTAACGCACAGTTTTAGCAAACTGATGGGTCGCTTAATAAACTATCAAATGGAGGGAATTAATTGAATTTAAAACAAAAATTTAATTAATATTAACACAGGCCCACACCCACGACCCGACCGGCGACGACGCGCGTGTGTGGTTTTTGGATTAGTTTAGACATTGTCTAAGACTCCCCCCTTTCAAACACTATTGGTATCCCTTGGGGTTCAAACCCATATCCAAACTTGAAATTTATTGAGTGGTTTAAGGTTGTGTTTGCAACCTATGTGAGATTGGAACATTTTTCCAATTCTTTCCCATTTATTTCTCTTATATTGTCCAACTTTCAACCATAATTTCTCATTCATATTGAAGTGGTTTTTCACAATTAAATATTCTACACTCATCTACTTGGAACTTAGAATTTAATTGAACATTAATTTCGATACATCGAACATCGGGTCCCACTTAAAATTGTGGTCAAAGTTGACCCAATTGACCCACAATTTCCAACAATCCTCCACATGAATGGAAATTATCATGACTATGCAATGCAGACACGAACAAAGAGTACATGCGAAAGACTTATTGCTTCAAGAGAGGTTGCTTTTGGCTTTGAACCTGCCTTAGTGGAATACTATCGAGTTTACTTCGCTAATCAGTGAACTGATGTCTTGAATTGTTCAGCCGTTAGTGTAAACCAAGGCAATAGTATCCACACAATAACCTTTCTATTCAATTCTTAGGTTCTCATAGTTGTGTTCATTTTGGCCCTGAACAATTCTTGGGATTCATAAGTGTTTTAGAGAATTTTAAGCCCCAAATTCTCATGGAAGCCGCCCCACTTCACACTTATATAGGTGATTTCCTATTGAGAGTATTCTGCTATACCCCACTTGGTTTATCCAAGTTATAGGCATCATTAAAAGTTACAACTTAGCCTTTTACTTTCCGCAGACAGCACTTTTTATAAAGGGATGGTTAAGTGCTTAACTGAGTCTTAATAACTTAGTTGTCCCATTGAACCAAGATCTTGGGATCTCCAGTCAACAAGGTTGGGTTACCATCATCAAGAGTCATGCATGTTCGGCTTTAATCTCATTCCCTTTGATAGATAATATACTTGATCTCTTGATAGACCTTTTGTACGCGGATTCGCGAGATTCTCCTTTGATTTCACATAATCAATGGAGATAATACCATTTGAGATCAACTGCTTTATGGTATTGTGTCTACGACGTATATGTCTAGACTTACCATTATACATGCAATTTTGTGCCCTTGCAATAGCAGACTGATTGTCACAGTGAATACTAATTGCAGGTACCGACTTAGGCCAACACGGGATATCCTCTAAGAAGTTACGAAGCCATTCTGCTTCCTCTCCAGCTTTATCCAATGCATTAAACTCTGATTTCATTGTTGATCGAGCTATGCAAGTTTGCTTTGAGGATTTCCAAGACACTGCCGCACCACCAAGTGTAAATATATAACCACTTGTGGATTTAGAATCTTTCATATCAGATATCCAATTTGCATCACAATATCTTTTTAATACTGCTGGATATCTCATATAATGTAATCCAAATTTTAAGGTATGTTTTAAGTATCGAAGTACCCTATTCAATGCCTTCCAGTGATCATTGCTTGGATTACATGTGAACCTACTCAATTTATTAACTGCGAAAGCAATGTCATGACGTGTGCAGTTCATTAAATATATCAGACTTCCAATAACCTGAGAATATCTTAATTGATGTACAGGTTCACTTCTATTTTTTGCTAAGTGTAGACTCGTGTCTATCGGAGTTTTGACTGGACTTTCATCAACGACTCCAAATCTCTTTAGCACAGACTCAACATAATGAGATTGTGAAAGAACGAGGCCATTTGGTGTTTTAGAAATTTTAATTCCAAGAATTACATCCGCTACACTCATGTCCTTAATGTCAAAATATTTTGTTAGCATTTTCTTAGTGGAGACAATGATATCATGATTGCTACCCAGAATTAGCATATCATCCACATATAAACATACTAAGACATATGCTGTCGGCGTACTGTTATTATACACACATTTATCACACTCGTTAATTATAAAACCATTTGACAGCATTGTTTTGTCAAACTTTTGGTGCCACTGCTTTGGCGCCTGTTTTAGTCCATATAAAGATTTAACAAGTCTGCAAACCTTTTTCTCTTGTCCATGAGCGACAAATCCTTCAGGTTGCTCCATGTATATTTTTTCTTCCAACTCACCATTTAAAAAAGCTGTTTTAACATCCATTTGATGAATTTCGAGATTATGTATCGCAACAATTGCAATAAGGATTCTTATCGAAGTAATCCTCGTTACTCGTGAGCAAGTATTAAAGAAATCAAGACCTTCCTTTTGTCTATATCATTTTGCTACCAAACAAGCTTTGTATTTATCAATAGATCCATCAAATTTTGACTTTTTCTTAAAAATCCACTTGCAACCTAGAGGTTTATTTTCAGGTGGGAGATCAACCAACTCCCAAGTATGATTTTACATTATCGATTCAATTTCACTATTGATGGCTTCTTTCCAAAAAGGAGCCTCTGGTGTTGACATTGCTTCACGAATGTCTTTGGTTCATTTTTGATCATGTACGTTATAAATTCTAAACCGAAGGACGAAGACTTTCTATCCCTTTTACCGTGTCTGAGTTCTTCTTCATTTTCATCATCATTCGCAGTATCGTAAGTTCGTTTTGTTGAACTTACATCACTTTTGTCTTTACGAGGAAAGACATCTTCGAAGAAACTTGCATTCCTCGATTCAATTATTGTATCTTCATGTATATCCATAATCTCGGATTTATGCACAAGAAAGCGATATGCACTACTATTATGAGCATATCCAACAAATATGCAATCTACAGTTTTTGGTCCTATTTTTATTTTTTTAGGTTTTGGCACTTCTACCTTTGCTAAACACCCCCACACTTTCAAGTATTTATATGAAAGTTTATGACCTATCCATAATTCGTAAGGTGTTTCATCCTTTACTTTGTGTGGTATTTTGTTAAGAATGTGATTTGCCGAGAGGATAGCCTCCCCCCAAAAATTCTGTGGTAGGCCAGAACTAATCAACATAGCATTTATCATTTCTTTAAGCGTGTGGTTCTTTCATTCCGCAATACCATTAGATTGAGGTGAATAAGGAGCCGTTGTTTGATGAATGATGCCTTGTTGAGAATAAAATTTTTCAAACGGCGCTCCATATTCTCCACCTCTATCACTTCAAACAATTTTTATTGTTTTGCTAAGTTGATTTTCAACTTCATTCTTATAATGTTTAAACATTTCCAAAGCCTCATCTTTGCTTTTTAATAGATAAACATAACAGTACCGAGTGTAATCGTCAATGAAAGTAATGAAATACTTTTTCCCACCTTTAGTTTGTACGAATTTCAAATCACATAGATCGCTATGAATTAATTCTAAAAGTAAAATATTTCTATCAACTGAAGGAAATGGTCTGTTGGCTAACTTAGCCTCAACACAAGTTTCACATTTGTTATTCGGATCGAAACTTAGAGAAGGTAGCAAATTTAATTTCATTAATTTGCGCACAGATTTAAAGTTTGCATGTTCTAATCTTTTATGTCATAAACAAGAAGAATCAACAATATACGCAGAAGTAGAAGCTTCATTAATGTTGTTCAATTTAGGTACAACAGTAAGAACGCTAATCTTGAACATCCCATCGGTCATGTAACCTTTTCCAACGTACATCCCATTTTTAGTTAGTACAAATTTGTCAGATACAAATACTAACTTAAATCCATTATTGCTAAGAAAAGAACCAGAAATAAGATTTTTCCGAATGTCCGGCACATGCAGCAAATTGTTGAGGATGAGTTCTTTGCCAGATGTCATCTTCAAGGTCATCTT